TGCCCTGATTGAAACTCGCTGAAAAATTTGCACCCCAGTAAGCGAAATGATTTCACCACAGGCTTATACTTGAGCTCGCCTTCATGTTCCAGCAAGATGCGCTTCTTGTCTTCGGCGCTCAACGTGGACTGACGAAGGAGCACATAGGCCTGAACCTCCTCCAAGGTTGTATTCCGGGCCAAAAGCTCCATGAAATTTGATTCCATCCTTGAAAGAAAACTGTCATGGGACTCATCACTACGTTGAATTGTGCCATATAGTGACTTCTCAAAGTATTCATACCTCTCTTCCAGTTCTGTTGAGCCCCATGATCCTCCGATGGCTTCGACCAAAGTGGCTATGCCGTCAGTAGACTTCACCTTGAGCTTGGCCGGCGGGATTCGAGCAATCTTTCGAAAGGCTGTGCCCTCAATGAGGAGAGCAGCCCTGGGCGCCAATTGGTCAAGGTACTCAACCGGCCAGAGCGAAGCCAAAAACTTCAACTTCTGAGTGTACTCTTGGACATTGGTAGTGCCCGGGATGAACTTCGGAATCTGGACTCCATGGAAGCTGTGTCACTGGTGGTGTCGGTGTCTCATCATCCGGCACCGGTGGCAGTGCACCATCTCCAGAAGCAGCTGGTGGCATGATGCCAAATCAAAAACAAAAATTGCAAGTCAGTGTCGACCTCCCTGGATCGGCCGCTCTTTCGGTTACCACAACAGGCAGCCGGAGCACAAGGCTCCGCTACCAGTGTGAAACAAATCACACTGGCAGCAGAAGAGAATCCAACCAAAGTAGCAAAATGTCTGACCCTGTCAGCTGAAAGAAGATTGACCCTGTCAAATGAGTTGAACCCAAAAGCGTCCCACGCCAGTAGAAATCCGCAGCTTTTTATGACCACCGCTCAGAGCACCATGAACCGTCCAACGGTTTATGAAACCTCAGCCCTTGCCCACCTCTAGGTGTCTTGAGAAGACAAGGCGATCGGGAAGTCGCACTTGGCACATGCTGTCACATCAAGTGAAATCACATCAAGGTACAGGTATTGTAGAATTCACACTATGTACATACATATATAAATATATTTATATATATGTATAATGAATATCCTACCTACAGTACAGACACGTATATATATATATATCATTATTCTACGTACGGCATGCATGTCGTACATGCTGCAGTCAGACGTACAGTCCCACCTCCTCACATCAGACAGGGCATTCATGCCAAGTTGCAAGACGTAGGAATTTAACCCAAGATAGCCTAAATAGAATCCTGAGCGTCAGTTTTCTGGCTGCACTGCTGCTATATCATGCTATATCTGCTTATCTCTCCCATACCAACGGGATATCAATGGTGCAAATGGGATGTCCTGCCCAAACAAATTTGTGTCGAACTGATTAGCCTGGATTATCTGAAGAAAAACACAATGATATAATATGATATAATACCTCTAATATCATATACCCCTTCACCACTCAGTGTCCTAATGAAGCCCAGCAACCATATCCAGTCCCCAGTAGGATGCCAAGGAGAAAACCGGACAAGAATGATCCCATGGCAAGGCCGAAAGTTTTCCGCCTCAGCTGGAAAGCTTGGGCTGTGTCCAGCTCCAAATTGGGATGATCCAATTGAATCCAATTGAAACTTTCGGAGGCAACTGGGAACTGATGGAGATTTCTGTCCCATTTAACGTTTTTTTTTCTCCCCTTTGAAGCAGGTTTGGAAGCATTTACCAACTCCAGTTAGGTCATGTCAGCACCGTTTTGCTGAGTTTGGCACGAACAAAGGCTGATCTGCCCAGTCTTGATACGATGACTGTCAATTGCCTGCTGGTTCGAGGTTTGACTCAAGATCGCTTTCACTTGGAAGCCTGTAACATCCTGTAACTAATATATACTAATATACAGTAACTATACTCTAAATGTTACTTACCCTGATCAATTATTGTCAATATGGCCACATCAAGTTTTGATACGAGGGCTCTCTCTCTCTCTCTATCTATCGTCATCCCGAAGGTTCAGCTAAGGCTGAGGGCGAGCTGGTGGCACGAGGGCTACTACAGGTAATTTCAATCCAACGAAGCCTCTACATCCACTTCGCTGCACGACAATCCAGGACTCTTATTGGCCTCGCAGACCTCAGCGGCTCAGCGAGATTTCGTTTAACGTCCAGCAAGTTGATGTTTTTGGCGTGAAACAAGGGCGGACAAAAATGAAATGCATGTGATCTAACCAACAAAACCGAGGACACACACACACACACTTGCTCAGAACAATCTTTGCGAATTCTGATGTGGAATGCATCTTACGTGCAAAAACACTCCAATTATACCTGACAGGAATGGGCCGGTGAAAAGACCCGAGAGAAATCGAAAAGTTGCCATCGCCATAGTCAGTGCTAGATGACATGTGTTGGAAGCTGACACTTCCCTTTCAACTAAGCCAAATCGTTCCCATCTTGACAGATTGCGACAACAGTGCAGAAAATGAAAAAGACATCGGAAAATTGCAGAAATTGCAGAGAAGTCGAGACTGACGTCATGGCGGTTCTACAATGAGATTTTCAAATTGATCTTGCAAGCTATGTCCACGACATCCATGCCAAGATCTGCAGGTACAAGTGGTTGATCAGACCACTCATCCACCGAAATGCCATAGCTTCATTGGACTGGATAGGCAAATCGGCTCCAGTCCCCCTGCTTCATTTTCGGAAATGAGAAAACACACATGTATGTATGACAAGAAAAAAGTCAGCAACTAAGGAAAACAAATCATCAGTGAAAAAAGACATCATCATGTAGAAGTTTTACATCTATTCAGCTTCACACACACACATAAATATAACTATATATATATATCAATAATTATATATATACTGTAATGTAATACACATAATATAATGTATATAAATAATTCTGTACATATTCTAGATGCCTTGTGCCTTACTCTTGTTGGCTAGGGAAAAATGCTCCGGGACCTTCAACATCCACTGCCATGGCACGCTATGGAAGTGGAAGCCTGTTTTCACGCCCGGAAGCTCCGTTGGCTTCGCCTCAATGCCCAACATGTGAAACGAAAGGTGGATAATGATGGAATAAGATGGATAAAGCCATGGATAAAATATAACTTTATAGAACTGTACAACTAAACATTCTTCGCATATTGACTCACCAAGTTGTTGAAGGTCAAAAAACAGGCATGTCAATTTCTTCAAAACAAACAACAACAAAATGAAACCATGGTATTTAATTATGTGGTTTGACCAGGCAACAATGTGGTTTTTCCGTGTTTTTCCGGGTCCTTTTCTGGTAACATCTCCCTTTAACATCATACTATGGCCTTGGCCACAATATTGCCGGGCGCGTCCCCATCGTCTCGATCGCAGTTCTTGACTGGTTCAGTCATGAGCGCCGGGACCCCGTCTTGGGCAATACTGCGCGGCCGGGATCGTCAACCCAGGGTCAACCCATGATTTTGGCCCATTGTTGGTAGTAAACCACGTGTAAACCACACTTGGGGGCATCGAACCTTGACACAAGTTCTGGGGGAAAAATGATGACACATGTATAATTAACAATACATGAAGATAGATGAAGGTTGATTGGGGATCATCACTCCAAATGGGAATAGACCATAAACATCCACATCCATAAACCACAATTGAAACCACATCCATATCCACCGACCATGACCACATTCAAGCGCTTCAATTCGTGATCTCCAAACAATCTGCATTCGTGTGAACCATTCTGATTGACGCTTGGACCTTTCCAAAACTGCCATGGACCATTGTTTCTTAATGGTTGGGGTGTCTCCACAGTTGGATTCATCCAAAGGCTTGTCAGGACCCTGCTTACAGTGGCTTACAGTGGATGGGTGAAGGGAGATAACCTTCACTTGCCGAAGCCACGTTGGTTTAAAAACCGGGGTGCTGAGCATGAAAAAAAAGCTCTTAATTTGTGAATGATATGAACTATGAATATCACTATATACAATATATATATATATGATATATATAATTTTCAGTAATATCCACACACATATATATATATGTATATATACATATATATATATGTATAATAAAATATTTATGTATATAGATAATATGGCTATATATATATAAATGAACATCCATATCAATACTACAATAACCATCAGTTTTCAATGGCTAGTAAGCAGGCTAGCCCGGTTCCCCACCAACCTGAGATGCTGACCATTGACGTAATTGACGTCATCCGCCTCGAACAAGACCTCTTCTTCATCCCCGGCCTGGCCCTGAGAGGAACACCATACCATTGACAAGCCAAACCCAACGGATTCATCGTTTGGTTTCTGGACATTCTGGAATACTGTACTTCAGCCTTTTGGAAGAATGTTGCCTTCTTCTTCATTGGCACACTAGCATGTTGATTGCAATCTGTGGCTCATGTTTTGCCGCAGGCGTGCCTGCGTCATGACCCTAGGCTTGCCAGTGTCTGGAGAGAAAAGCAAGAAATTAATCAATGGCTCGCAGCATGTCTGTAAAATTTATAGGAAACCCTGCATGTTTGTTGGTAAACGCGTGCAAAAACCTTTCCAGTGGCACTTGGCGCGACAAGGCGAGACACCTGAGGTCCACACCATCAGCATCCGGACCCTCTCCGATGCTGGAGCCCATTTTCACATAGGTTACAAGAGTATTACAAGAGTATTACAAGGGATCTTGGCGTTTGTGACTTGCAGCTTTGAAAGCCTTTGCTTTGACCCCACACAACAGCACCACTTTCAGCTCAAAAAGGATGCAAAGGCACTGGTGCTTTTCGATGTTTCTGGCACAATGGCAAGCACAACAGGGCTCTAGTCACTAATGGCAGGTACTGCAGCAAGTGGCAGCAGCCTTGCAAATGACCTCGAAACCTGCTGATAGTGGCTGTGACGCAATAATCAGATACACAACTGAACATTATATCATCGGAAATCATGCGTGTCAATGAACCTGTGAAACTGCATCAAATTTGCTCTAGAACCGTGGCAGCAAAACTATCCGGTTGCGGTTTGGGGAAAAAGATCATTCCTTCACATGACCTGCTGCTACCCACCAGTAGTCTCAGAACCTAGACTTTTTCTATCAAGAGATCTCAAGATATCTCAAGTGACATGTTCATTCACAGAGACCTCTTTTCGCACGCTGGACTGCTGGCAGCACAAAACCACAGGGATTTCTGTCTTGGCCAGGTCATGGTGCCGCCAATCCTTTGGATCCTTGCCAGCTCATCCTGTCCTAAACGACGAGAGCCATCCAGCTGGCCAATGTTCAAGGCAAGCTGACCGATCTTTGTAGAGAAGCTTCTGCTTGAGGAGGAATACGGAAGTGCAGCAGAAAGTGGGTCTCAACCTCATCTTCTCTTGATGTGAATGTAACTATTGAAGACTGTAGAACTTCCATCTGGAAGCTTCTTCCACCTTGCCGCTGGACATCCACACTCCTGAGAACTTCCTTCAAGGGCTGCCAGAATTGCTTCAGATCAAATGCATGACGAAGCACAGGCATTCGCGGCGGAACGCCTGATTTCATCGAAGGTGAGCTAGAGCGTCTGGGCATGTCCGAGCTTGTAGGTGTCAATGATAAGCCGCGAGACAGAAAGGTGACGCATGATGGCTGTGTTCTTGAAACTTGCTCAGCAGGGCCATATCCAGCAGTGCTTGAGTTGTTTCAGACTTGCTCTGCTCAAAGGCAAAATCTTCGAGCACTTTTCCCTGAATGTTCAGAAGCTGTGCAAGCAACTTTGTGACGCGCAAACTGCCCTGCAGGGAAATGAACATAAGACTATGACATGCCATGTCTATTTGAAGCTAGAACATCAAGTTGATCAAGTGATAGCCTGTGACAGTCAAAAAAACGAACTCCGACTCTGAACCTTTCAGTTGAAGAAGGAATTCTTCCCCCACCCAGCCACATGTATGACGATCTCGTGAGAGTAAGCCAGAAACAACGCCCTCTTCAGTCTTGTACCTTGGAGTCAAGTCTGGTTTGGACTCTTCCGCCCGATTTGGAAAGAAACATGCAATGCAAGAACAAAGAGCTGCCAATAAATGGCTAGAGACTCCAAATGAATCTCCGCTCTATCCTCTAGCCCTTTGTGCATCATTTCCTGGTAGTGGTAGCCAAAAGCACAATGCAAGGGCCTGGCTAAGAGCCCCAAGTACATCGCCAGTGCACTCAGCACATGGTACCCCATGTCGAGAATTAGGCCTCCAGGACAGCCAAGTGAGTAACACATCTTGCAAGTGCCCTAGATTTATTTCGAAAAGAATTGGGTATGTCTGAAAATGGGGTATACCCCCAATTATAGCCATTTAGTAGGGATAATGATCAGCAAAACCATTGGGTTTTTCGGGGTACACTATTTTCAGACAAACCCAATTCTCAGGACGAAGTTTTTTTTTTTGGGACTCTAGCGAAACTTCAAGGCCTAGCCGGCTCAACGCTGAACTGAAAAGGCCAAGCCGTCGTGAGGGTACCTTGATTGGGCGCTTGGAGGTCCAAGAGGCATCACCGTGATTGAATTCCTTCTGCCTGCATCTGCTTGGAGTGCTAGGCTATGCTTTAGATTGCTGATGATTGCTAAAGTAGTATCACTTCCAGATTCGATAGCCGTGCAAAACAGCCAAGAGTCTCTTTGTTCTTCTGTCTCCCGCAAGCCCCGCTCCAGAAGAGTATGGAATCTGTTTTCTGGAAGATCACCCCACACTTTACCCTCTGAGTAAACCAGTGCTCTGCACAATCACAGGTACCAAACTCTCAAATTAGCCAACAAAACACCATAGAAACTTGAACCAAAGGATGACGTCGACAAACAACAAACAAGAATCTCCAAGGTTGTTGTCTGTGTGGCCTTCTCTCAAAGACCCTTATGGGATATGCACCATCAATTTCCCGACACTTAGAAACGGGTGTGAAATAGTTTTTGGATTTTTTTTTTGAACAGGTTTGGGATTTTTTTTTGGATTTCTTGGCTGGTACCATTTGCCTAGTGTTTGCAACGGTTTGGAACTTGAATTTGTCATTTTGCATGGTATTTGCCACATTTGGGCATGTTCACCTTCCATTTTGCATGGGATTTACTACATGTGGGCATGTTAACCTTCCATTTTGTATGGTATTTGCCACATTTTGGCATGTTCACCTTCCATTTTGCATGGGATTTCCTACATGTGGGCATGTTCACCTTCCATTTTGTATGGTATTTGCCACATTTTGGCATGTTCACCTTCCATTTTGCATGGGATGTTCTACATGTGAGCATGTTCACCCAAATATTTACAGATGCGGAAGCTTGGGATTAGATAAAAAGCGGGTGGGGGGGATTGAGGGAGGGCGCTAGCTATCTATCCAGCTAGCTAGCTATCTAGCTATCTAGCTAGCTATCTATCTAGCAAGCTATCTATCTATCTAGCTATCTATCTACCTATCTAGCTAGCTATCTTGCTAGCTATCTATCTACCTATCTAGCTATCTAGCTAACTATCTATCTAGCTATCTAGTTTTCTATCTATCTAGCTATCTATCTATCTAGCCATCCAGCTGTCTATCCAGCTATCTAGCTATCGAGCTAGCTATCTATCTAGCAAGCTAGCTATCTATCTAGCAAGCTATCTATCTATCTATCTAGCTATCTACCTATCTAGCTAGCTACCTATCTAGCTAGCTATCTATCTACCTATCTAGCTATCTAGCTAACTATCTATCTAGCTATCTAGCTAACTATCTATCTAGCTATCTAGCTATCTAGCTTTCTATCTATCTATCTATCTAGCTAGCTATCTATCTATCTAGCTATCTATCTAGCCATCTATCTATCTAGCTATCTATCTAGCGATCTATCTATCGAGGTATCTAGCTATCTATCTCTCTAGCTATCTATCTATCTAGCTGGCTATCTATCTATCTACCAAGCTATCTATCTATCTATCTATCTATCTATCACATGTAATCCTGTCAGCTTTCCAGAGAAGGTTAGTTCGCAAAAACCAACTAATGTAACTTGGGTTTAAGTTTAAATAAAAAAAAGCGGGAGGGGGGGATTGGGGGGAGGGCGCAGCGCCTCCCCCCAAAGCAGAATGCAAGCACCTCTTCTCACATGTTACGTTGCTAGTTTTCAAGAGAAGGTTGGTCATGTGATACTCAGGGATGTAAATACTGTGCAAAATGCATCTTACATGAAAATCAAGTATTTAAAGCAGGCAAAGCAAAAAAAAAAAGCAGAGAAGCAAAAAAGCAGAGAAGCAAAGAAACAGGAAACGCACAAAAGCAAAACAGCAGAAAGGCAAAGAAGCAGGAAAAGCAGAAAAGCAGAGAAAAGCAGGCAAAAGCAGAAAAACAGAGAAGCAAAGAAACAGGAAAAACAGAAAAGCAAAAAAGCAGAAAAGCAGAGAAGCAGGAGAAGCAGAAAAGCAAAAAAACAGAAAAGGCGAGAAGCAGGAGAAGCAGAAAAGCAAAAAAGCAGAGAAGCAGGAAAAGCAGGAAAAGCAGGAAAGCAGAGAAGCAGGAAAAGCAGGAAAAGCAGAGAAGCAGGAATCCAAAAATAATTCCTAAACCTGATCAAAAAAAATTCCTAAAATAATTAGCCCTCCCTTAGAAACTATATATATATATATCTCTCTCTCTCTCTATATATATATATATCCATCTATTAGCTTAGATTCTCATCTCGGTGGCAAAGAAATGCTGTTTTTCAGGCAGAAATATGAGGGAAAGTGATGGAACATGATGATCAACAATGCATTAAGCATCAAATTTGTGGGGGTACCATAGTTTCATATAGTTTCAAACAAACCCATGCTGATCATGAGGTGGCATGGCATGGCCGCTGGGATAGCTGAGGCATTCACTGCACGGCTGCTGCTTCCCTCTCTGCAAGCAGCCAATCGATGCAGCGCAAACACGCCTGCTCCGCATGTGCGTTTCTAGCTCGGTGGCAGGCAACAATGGAAATCTTCATGAAATCACGAAACATCTGAAGATGTAGAGGATAATGCTCATGCAAAACTCCTGGCCAGTTCAACCTTCAAATGTTCACTGACACACACACACAATGCTCTCCAGCTGTCCCCACCAGCATCCTCGGCAGAGACGGGCAGCAAGAGCATCTCACTCAAGAAGGCCTAGAAAAGTGGATTTGGAATGAACCCCAGGTCTTGTGAGCCGCTGTCGGCTGTCACTGCAACTTTTGGCTGGCTTCACATGATTTCACATGTTTCCTCCTTGTTTCTTCCTGGCCTGCACTTTAGGCCTCTGTAAGTGGTTTGCTGATTCCTACGGTTCCTACGGTTCCTGCGGTTCCTACTGAATCCACCTGACACTGTTTGCAAAGATCTTCTTTTAGTCGCTACCAACTTCTGTGGAAAAACTCATGCCCTCCTCGCGAAAGCCGCTCAAGAGCCTCAGAACCACAAAAGATTCCACAGGGCCAGATGTATACAGTGCTATTTCTTCCCTTCCTTCGCTGCTTGCAACCCAACCCCCCATTCTCTACTGAAACTAGACCTCTTCAAGTCGCAACTTGCCATTTTTCAGTTTCAGCTCATGCTTCGACTCTCAGGGATTCGGCTGCTTCAATGGTCCCGGCTTGCCACTCTTCTCCAAGCGACTCCAAGGCGATTTCTGGGCCTTCTCCAGGTCCAGCCGGGACCACAACCGGGGCAGCACCTCGGCTAAAGGCTGAGCCTCCACCGGCGCTTTATCAAAGGGCGTGAAAACACCGAACAGGGTCCCATAGTCGGGATCGGTCTCTAAGACCTGAGCTCCTGTATGAAATTTCCGCGCGAACATGAAATTTTGGTCCATCAAAGTCTCCAAATAGCTGCCGGTGATGTTGTCAAAAGCATGCGGGAAGCCGTTCAACTCGCGTTTCAATGCGGACTTCTGAAGGTCAATGTTGTCCAAGTTTAGCACTTCATTCAAGTTGTTCCACACAGTTTTCAAAGCTGCAAAGGGTGTTGAGAGATCCAGCTGGGTTCCCACAAAGCAGTTTCGCCAGCGAACGAAGGTGAGGCAGTTTTGCTCCACGCCAAGGCGGGTCAGATCCAGCCAGGTGTTGCCTGGCCCCATGCCTTCAAAATGCGGATGAAGCATACCCTGATCATCCCAGATTTATATGGAGGAACACATTTCTACTACATAGGGATTTAAATTTGTTAAAAATGACTTTTGGACAGTTTTGGCGGGCTCGCCAGAGTTCTAACTATTGATATTATGTAAAGTCGCAAAACTCTGCGGGATGCCCTTTGCCAATCTACGGCAAGCACCGGTGTAGGTATTGTAAAAGTCACATGTACACATACAAACACATACGCACGCACACACGGAGCTACATCGGTATATTCACAAAATAAATGAATAAAAAAAATCAAAAAACAAACTAGACGACGGATGGCCCGAGAGCGTAGAAGAGCAGGGTTTTCTCTTGTTAGTATGGAGACATCATATTACAAAACAATATATTAAAGATGTGTTATAGGCAGTCGAGAAGAGGAGTATCAAGACAATATAGCACAAGTACAAAACAATAGTTTGCATTGCAAACACTTTTACACACACACAGAAGCTTTTACACACAGAAGCTTTTACACAGAGCAAGCTTTTACACAGAGAACTCCTTACACAGAGAAGCTTTTACACACAGAAGCTTTTACACACAGACGCTTTTACACACAAGGCACTTTTACACACAGACACTTTTACACACAGGCGCTTTTACATACAGACAGTTTTACACACAGACGCTTTTGCACACTGTTGCTTTTACACAGACGCTTTTACAGACAGAAGCTTTTACCCACAGAAGCTTTTACAGACAGAAGCTTTTACACACAGACGCTTTTACACAGACGCTTTTACAAACAAAAGCTTTTACACACAGACGCTTTTTCACACTAACACTTTTACACACATTACACACAGACGCTTTTACACACAGACACTTTTACACACAGACGCGTTTACACACAGACCCTTTTACACAAAGAAGCTTTTACACACAGACGCTTGCACACACACAGACGCTTTCACACACAAACGCCTTTACACACAAACACTTTTACACACAGACACTTTTGCACACAAAAGCTTTTACACACAGACGCTTTTTCACACTAACACTTTTACACACAGACGCATTTACATACAGACGCTTTTCCACACAGACGCTTTTACACACAGACGCTTTTACACACAAACACTTTGACACACAGACGCTTTTGCACACAAAAGCTTTGACACACAGACACTTTTGCACACAAAAGCTTTTACACACAGTCGCTTTTACACACTAACACTTTTACAAGCAGACGCTTTTACACACAGACGCTTTTACACACAGACACTTTTGCACACAGACGCGTTTACACACAGACGCTTTTACACACAGGAAATCGCAATTTGCTTCAGTTTTGGGCGTTGAACCTCATTTCATGCGAAAGGGTCGCGGTTGGACAAGAGAAATTTCAATTTCACTCCAGTTTTTGGCGATCGAGCCTCGTTTCGTGCGAAACGGTTGCGCGGGGCAACTTGAAATCACAATTTTACCTCAGTTTTTGGCGATCGAACCTCGTTTCGTGCGAAAGGGTTGCGCCGGACAAGTTGCAATCGCAATTTTACGGCAGTTTTTGACGATCGAACCTCATTTCGTGCAAAAGGGTTCACGGGACAAGTGAAATCGCAATTTTACCTCAGTTTTTCGCGCCTCGTTTCGTGCGAAAGTTTTGCGCGCGCGACGACACATCGCAATTTTACATAATTTTACCTCAGTTTTTGGCGATCGAAGCTCATTTCGTGCGAAAGGGTTGCGCGGGACCCCTTGAAATCGCAGTTTTACCTCAGTTTTTGACGATCGAACCTCATTTCGTGCGAAAGGGTTCGCGGGACAAGTGAAATCGCAATTTTACCTCAGTTTTTGGCGATCGAACCTCATTTCGTGCGAAAGGGTTGCGCCGGACAACTTGGAAATCGCAATTTTACCTCAGTTTTTGGCGATCGAACCTCGTTTCGTGCGAAAGGGTTGCGTTTCGTGCCGTCTCGTTGGCACTGCCCCTGCCCCCGCCTTCAGAAGAGAAATAGACAGGAAGGAGAAGGCACGAGGGCAAGAGGGCAAGAGCAAAAGATGTGAAGATGTGAGGGCAAGAGGGCAAGAGGGCAAGAAGGCAAGAGGAGAAGATGTGAAGATGTGAGAATGTGAAGATGTGAAGATGTGAGGATGAGAAGATGTGAAGATGAGCAGATGTGAAGATGTGAAGATGTGAGGATGAGAAGATGTGAAGATGAGAAGATGTGAAGATGTGAAGATGTGAGGGTGAGAAGATGTGAAGATGAGCAGATGTGAAGATGTGAAGATGATGAGAAGATGTTAAGATGATGAGAAGATGTGAAGATGAGAAGATGTGAAGATGAGAAGATGTGAAGATGTGAGGATGTGAATGTGTGAAGATGATGAGAAAATGTGAAGATGAGAAGATGTGAAGATGAGAAGATGTGAAGATGAGAAGATGTGAAGATGAGAAGATGTGAAGATGTGAGGATGTGAAGATGAGAAGGTGTGAAGATGAGAAGATGAGAGACAGACCCCCACTATTGGAAGAACCCTGCGCTCAGACGCTCTCGGGAATAAACAAACAAATAAATAAATAAGTAAATAAATATATAATTATATATATATACACGCAAGATGTATAATATATATATATAAATAGATGAATAAATATATTGTATCATCATGTATAATCTGTGTATGGTTTCTGCATGTGTAAGTGCTATACAGGTTCCGGGCCACCCACGATTTGTGATTTTGGGGCGTGTTTGGGGGCTGTGGGGTTGTAAAGATATATGTGATACATGGCATATTTCTGGTAATTATGATACATGACTAGTACAGGGGGAGCATGTAATACGCATGTTGTAGTTGTATGTGGATTTTATTTACCAATGGGTATAGCTTGCAATACCACCCTTGTCAGGTCCATCCTATTGACCTTCAGTTCAATACACTCATGCGTTAGGATTTTTGGAAGGGGTGTGAATATTTTTTTGGGGAAATGTGCGTTATTGTCTTCGGTCCATGGTTCGATGTCGTGTGGGTGCCATGGCGCGAAGTCGTCACGTTAGCTTACCCATCTAGATTCGCAGATGGAAATTGGTTTCATTTGACCCACCACCGCATTTACAGGGTGTTTTGATGAATTTCTATTGGGCAAACCACTCGCCCACCCAAAAAATGAAACATGTCTTGAAGATAAACATATTTTACTTCAGGTGCTCCCCACACTGACAAATTATGACATAGTTTCTGAACGTTTCTGTCATATCATCTGGAAATATATATGGCAAATATGTATACTCTGGCAATCTCTGGCATATATTCAAACATTTTATCTGGCACAAGTTCTGACATTCTTTCTGACATGTGTTCGGGTCCGTGTGTGCCCCGACTGATATAGAGCTCGCAATGGGCTTCGCGCCCGTGTGTGCCCAACTGAGCTGGCATTCTTTCAGGCATAGGCCCTGACATTCGAATTGCCAGTCTATCTGGCATCTATTCTGATATTCATACGGTCTGGCATTTATTTTGAACATCTTTCTGGCATTCTATCCGGCATCTGATTCTGACATTCTGTCTGGCATTCTATCTGGCATTCTTTCTGGTGTTCAGACTTTTTTTCTGGCATTCTATCTGGCATCTATTCTGACATTTCATACAATCTGGCATCTATTTTGAACATCTTTCTGACATTCTATCCGGCATCTGATTCTGACATTCTGTCTGGCATTCTACCTGGCATCTATTCTGACATTTCATACGGTCTGGCATTTATTTTGAACATCTTTTTGACATTCTATCCGGCATCTGATTCTGATATTCTGTCTGGCATTCTTTCTGGCATCTGTTCTGTTTTTTCTTGCATTCTAGAATCTATTCTGGCATTCAATTTCAGCAAAACTAAGTATATAGTGGATCGACATGCAAATGATCTGGATTGGCATTTTTTTCAAGAGAAGGATAATGCAGGAAATGGAAAGAAATGAAAAGAAAGGATAACAAAGAACAAACAGTGAACAGAAATGAAAAGAAATGAAAACAATGAACAAAAGTGAAAGAACTGAAAAAATGAATAAACTCCGGCGCTATCCCCAACAGCTTGAAAGCTTCAGCGTTGGAATCTCGCCAGGTATCTGCAGGTATCTTCACCAGGTATCTGGAACCCTCGATATCTTCACCAGGTATCTGCACCGGAAGCTTCCGGAACCCCACCAATCATCTTCACCGGAACCCTCCAGAACGTCACCAGGTATCTGCGCCGGAACCCTCCGAAACTTCACCAAGCATCTTCACACCAGAAGCTTCCGGAACTTCGGATCGCACCGGAGCTAATCTGGGCTAAAGACCCTGTAGCAAAGGTTTGCTAATGGGGAATTAAATGGCCATGCCATTAAAAACATTGGAAACCTCTGGACCTTCACAAAAGCATCTGCACCCGAGTACCTGCACCGGAACCCTCCGGAACCTCACCGGCTATCTGCACCGGAACCCTCCGGAACCTCACCAGGTATCTGCATCGGAACCCTCCAGAACCTCACAAGGTGCACCGAAACCTCTGGAACCTCACGAGACCTGCACCGAAACCCTGCGCAACCTCACCGGCCATCTGCATTGAAACTCTCCGAAACCTCACCAGGTATCTGCACCGGAACCCTCCGGAACCTCAACAGGTATCTGCACCGGAACCCTCCGGAACCCTCCGGAACCTTGCCCGGAACCTGGTGTTGAAGCTGCACCGGATCGCACCAGAGCCTGTCTGGGCTAAAGACTTCATAGCAAAGTTTTGCTGTTAGGGAAAAAACTGCAGTTGTTTCTTCCTTGTTTTTTTCCTTTTTTTATCCCTTGGGTTTCGCGACAGTGGTTTAACCTGCATTTGGTTTTTAATTGAGAACATTGAGACAATGTTTCTAACATTTTTTTAAAAAACTTTTTCTTTTTTGACAAAACAATTCAGCAAAAGTAATTGAGAACAACATTTTTCTCAAAAAAAGGAAATCGCAAACGTGCTGCAAGGGTGTTTCTGGTCCGATGTGCTGTGGAAAAATATGAGATTGTTTGCGCGTGGCCAGCGTTGTCAAAACAAAGTCATTAGACAGATTAAAATAGATTAAATAGAATGAAGTAATTAAAATCATTTTAGTTCTATCTGTGCATGTTTTTGCTTTTGTATATGATTTATGTGTGTTTTTTCATTTCTCTTTATTTCTCTTTATTTGTTTTTCTTGCGGAAAAAATGTATTCTATGATTTTAACTGTTTTTTCTTAATTTTGGACCAACCAAACCATGTTGAAACTAACCTACTGCAACCTGCACCACCACTTAGTCTTGCTGACAATTTGCATTCTTTCTGTCATGTGTTGGGGCCCTGTGTGCACAGACTGATCTGGTGCCCACAGTGACGACAAGCGGGCACAAGCAGAAAGAAGGGGGAAGGTGGGGGAGGGAAAGAAAGGAGTCACACCTTCCACTAAAATCTAGAGACCCTCACCTAGCAGGTGGGGAACGATCATTTTTATACCTGTTTTTTTTTTTTTTTTTGTGTTTTTCTGTATGAGCCACCTACATGCAGGGCGGCGATATTATCGTGCGCATATGAAAACTCTATATTCGCAGTGCACAGACCAAATGATATACAGTACGTACTCTGATTTAACGCTTATATAGAGGTACTAGACAGGGAGTAACAGGTACCATAACTAGTCATTGTGACGGTACTACAGGTGCTACATACATCTGTATCAACATAAGATCTGTATAGCAAGTATTGTCCCAATATGATGCAAGTATAATTACATATGCTTGATATCAAACGTCATTTGTTGTATTTTACAAATAGGTACTGTACAGGTTCTTTAAAGGCCATACTATATATGCTATCCCGCCTGTCAAGCCAAATGGCTTTACCCATCGTTGCCCATATTATCTTCTTCGGGTATGTGAGTAGACTCATGTAGACTCCTTTTTTAGCTGAACATTGTGTGTGCGTGTGTGCGCGTGCATTTTTTCAAATGTTGTTGTTGTTGTTGTTGTTTGCTGGCTATAGCGGCTAATCACCTGAGATTACCCTTGATGCCTTTCCCATTTCTTTGCGCCTGTGCTCTCCCCCTTGGCATCTAACGCATGTAGCAAAGCAATCAAAGGCACCGCTTCATCACTGCAGCCTTCAGCAGCGTTCTTGATATCCGGGGCAGCCTGGAGCCATACATCTTCGTAAATCTTCAAGGCTTCTTTGGCATATTGGATGATCATCTTTGCATGGGCCCGACTGAAGACCGCCCACTGGTGGTGCTTCATGGCCCTGGGATTGATTCCACGAAGGAAGTCGCGGAAGACGCAGGCTTGACTGGCTTCCTGCTTTGCAAACTCCGTCTTGGCTTTATTGAAGTATGCCCCGGAGGCCAAGCAAATCTTGCTGGTCTCAGGGGAGTTAAGGGCAAGCTCCTTGTGCACGTAGGCGAAAGGTTTCAGGGGGACCGAGGAATCAGAGACAAAGACAAACTGCAGATTGGCGGGGTCCTGCATGGCGTGAAACAAGCTTGCAACCTCAACGCCAAAGAGAGCACACCAACCGGTTTGGACCCAAGGAACCTCAATGGCTCCGTATTTGGCCAGTGGCAGTGGCTGTGCTTGCCGTTGGGCAGCATCTTTCAACGCTGCACGGTGCACATAGATGGAGTAATCCTTTTTCCAGGCGTCTTGGAAGAAAGCCTCCCATGCCTTCAACCATGGAAAATCTGACATCGTCAGAAACAAGAAGGCCACCTTGGGATTACCCAGTCCCACCTCCTGCAAGTCAGCAGCCTTGTGGATAAATTGGTCCACCACTCGGTGCTCAATGTCCATCTTGCTTTTCACCTGGTTGGTGCTTGAGCCGTTAATGGCGAACATGATGCCATCCCAGCAATTTGAAAGCCAACTGAGACCATCATCATTTTTTGCGGGTAATGCCAGCCCCGGATTAATAACCCCCTAGGTTTGTTACTCAAGGGTAATTACAAGTTTAGTAGCAAATTATCACAATTGTGGGGGGAACATCCTCATGAACAAACCGGGGTTTCTGAATCCGGGGCCGACAAGTATCAGACGATTGCCGCAACCAAAATGCTGACATGTTTCGTATTCTGAATCTTAGTCATCATGTTCATTCATTTCCCACCTGAAAGTACTTACCCTGTCTCAAATGATATTGAAACCACGATTCGAGTCACATATTTTCGTCGTTGTTCCGTGGGGCCGGCCCACTCGTCATCTGACAGCTCGCCCTCCTCGACAACCTCCAGCTGATCGGCGAAACTAGCCTCCTCCTCCTCGTGCTTCCCAAGCCGCGCGGCCGTTGCGCTGCCCAAGAGGAAGCTCAAATACCACAGCGACTTCATGCCCAGATCAATCAGGACCTGGATATTGATGATAGGAGAATTGAATGATATGGCAGAGAACGGAATCTTGACTGAGACTTTGGCTGGGTATGGCTAGGCCCTGCTTGAGCCACATGTGCGCAACATGCACAGAGCATTTTTGGCCATAATCCAGCGCCGTACTGGAACACTGCAATGCCAAACTTACAACGTTTCAATCTGACAATGCAACTATCTCATGGATAGATACATTCTTGGCACAATTTGGTACCCCAATCACCCAGTTGCTGTTTCTTGAAGTTTCTTGCCTTCAGCATGGAATGCTCAGCGCCCCGCATGCGCAGTGGGAGAGAAATGTGCGAGTACGAATGCATCACCTAAGCTTTGCACAGGTTACATGATCGTACATGATCACCAATTGAAAGTCGATATAACGCAGGGAGACTGATTTGGAATTACGGAATGTATATGCTTGTATATACGGCTGATTACGGCTGTCGCAGGTTCCTTCGTCGCAGCTGCGCAGGGAATTGTCTTGAAGTCCTCCAAAAATTATTGACACATTGCCGGTGGATTGGCAACATGATCCTTTCCTTTTAATATTAAACCCACCCCAAATATTAAATATTACCTTTTGCGGAGCCCAAGGCTAGAATGGTTCTGTATGTCTTTTGGCAGTCCAACCCACCAGCAGTGGTGAAAAAATGTAAATTCCATCACCTCACATTGGCACACGACTCAGACCTGGAACGCCCCTGGTCCCACCATTCCAGGCGCCCTGTCTTCGCGAAACGATGACTTTGATCAGGAAATCTTGAAGCACCAGGAGCGAAGTTTGGCCTCTTTATTCAACCCAAAACAAAAACGAACACTTGTCATGAAGCTCATCTCTACCAGTACCACCTGTTCCAATCCAATAATACGGGCAAGATTTGCAATAATTTGCAATATTTGCACCTTGGGAAATCTACTGTGCCGCCAAGTGGCTCTAAAAATGAGCCCAGTATGGCCCAGTTTGGGAAATCATGGCGGGAATCATGGCTGACATGATCCTCATTGAATCCTCGTCACTTCACAAGTCATACTCTTCCTCTGCGCAACCCAACCTTGGTACAAGTGAACCGCAGATGAACCGGCCCAGTTTGAGGACAAACAGCATCACTATCCGACAATTTGTTGTGGTGCCCTCTGGTAGTCTAAGCATAGCAAGGGAAAATCATGATTTTCTTCAATGCAAACCATCTATAAATGGGCAATTTTCCACGTCTGGCATGGTCTGATTGATGTGAGCACCCTGCGCTTGCCTGCGGGCCTCAACCCCAACCTCGGCCAACACGAGCTTAACTTAAGCCTTTGCACACACTTCTCAAACGCAAATAATGTGTCATGAGCTACTGTAGGTGTGCCATGTATTCAGTTTGCTAAAAATGAATCAAACCTGAGAAGGGGGGAACGAAAGCCAGCATCCCATCTACCCCTATTTTCCACCAAACTTTTCACCCTTCACCCAGAAACTCTTCTTGCACATACTTTTCACCCATATACTTTTCACCCAGAGACTCTTCACCCAGAAACTCTTCTTGCACGTACTTTTCACCCATATACTTTTCACCCAGAGACTCTTCAACCAGAAACTCTTCTCGCACAGACTTTTCACCCATATACTTTTCACACAGAGACTCTTCACCCAGAAACTCTTCTTGCACATACTTTTCACCCATATACTTTTCACCCAGAGACTCTTCACCCAGAAACTCTTCTTGCACATACTTTCCACCCATATACTTTTAACCCAGAGACTCTTCACCCAGAAACTCTTCTTGCACATACTTTTCACCAATATACTTTTCACCCAGAAACTTTTCACCCAGAGACTCTTCACTCACCCAGAAACTCTTCTTGCACATACTTTTCATCCAGAAACTCTTCTTGCACATGCTTTTCACCCAAATACTTTTCACCCATATACTTTTCACCCAGAGACTCTTCACCCAGAAACTCTTCTTGCACATACTTTTCACCCATATACTTTTCACCCAGAGACTCTTCACCCAGAAACTCTTCTTGCACAGACTTTTCACCCATATACTTTTCACCCAGAGACTCTTCACCCAGAAACTCTTCTTGCACATACTTTTCACCCATATACTTTTCACCCAGAGACTCTTCACCCAGAAACTCTTCTTGCACATACTTTTCACCCATATACTTTTCACCCAGGGACTCTTCACCCAGCAACTCTTCTTGCACATACTTTTCACCCATATACTTTTCACCCAGAGACTCTTCACCCAGAAACTCTTCTTGCACATACTTTTCACCCATATACTTTTCACACATATACTTTCACCCAGAAACTCTTCTTGCACATACTTTTCACCCATATACTTTTCACCCATATACTTTCACCCAGAAACTCTTCTTGCACATACATTTCACCCATATACTTTTCACCCAAAGACTCTTCACCTAGAAACTCTCCTTGCACAGACTTTTCACCCAGAGACTCTTCTTGCACATACTTTTCGCCCATATACTTTTTACCCAGAAACTCTTCACCCAGAAACTCTTCTTGCACATACTTTTCACCCAGATACTTTTCACCCAGAGACTCTTCACCCAGAAACTCTTCTTGCACATACTTTTCACCCATATACTTTTCACCCAGAGACTCTTCACCCAGAAACTCTTCATCCAGAAACTCTTCTTGCACATACTTTTCACCCATATACTTTTCACCCAGAGACTCTTCACCCAGAAACTTTACTTGCACATACTTTTCACCCATATACTTTTCACCCAGAGACTCTTCACCCAGAAACTCTTCTTGCACATACTTGTCACCCATATACTTTTCACCCAGAGACTCTTCTTGCACATACGTTTCACCCATATACTTTTCACCCAGAGACTCTTCACCCAGAAACTCTTCTTGCACATACTTTTCACCAATATACGTTTCACCCAGAGACTCTTCACCTAGAAAATTTTCTTGCACATATTTTTCACCCATATACTTTCACCCAGAGACTCTTCTTGCACCTACTTTTCACCCATATACTTTTCACCCAGAGACTCTTCACCCAGAAACTCTTCTTGCACATACTTTTCACCAATATACTGTTCACATCTTTTCACCCAGAGACTCTTCACCCAGAAACTCTTCTTGCACATACTTTTCACCCATATACTTTTCACCCAGAGACTCTTCACCCAGAAACTCTTCTTGCACATACTTTTCACCCATATACTTTTCACCTAGAGACTCTTCACCCAGAAACTTTTCTTGCACATATAATGGTCCCACATCGGAGCCTCAATTTTACTTTTCACCCATATACTTTTTACCCATATACTTTTCACCCAGAGACTCTTCACCTAGAAACTCTTCTTGCACATACTTTTCACCCATATACTTTTCACCCAGAGACTCTTCACCCAGAAACTCTTCTTGCACATACTTTTCACCCATATACTTTTCACCCAGAGACTCTTCACCCAGAAACTCTTTCTTGCACATACTTTTCACCCATATACTTTTCACCCAGAGACTCTTCACCCAGAAACTCTTCTTGCACATATTTTTCACCCATATACTTTTCACCCAGGGACTCTTCACCCAGAAACTCTTCTTGCACATACTTTTCACCCATATACTTTTCACCCAGAGACTCTTCACCTAGAATCTAGAAACTCTTCTTGCACATACATTTCACCCATATACTTTTCACCCAGAGATTCTTCACCCAGAAACTCTTCTTGCACAGACTTTTCACCCGGAGACTCTTCACCCAGAAACTCTTCTTGCACATACTTTCACCCATATATACTTTTTACCAAGAGACTTCACCCAGAAACTCTTCTTGCATATACTTTTCACCCAGATACTTTTCACCCAGAGACTCTTGACCCAGAAACTCTTCTTGCACATACATGTCACCCATATACTTTTCACCCAGAGATTCTTCACCCAGAAATTCTTCTTGCACAGACTTTTCACACAGAGACTCTTCACCTAGAAACTCTTCTTGCACATACTTTTCACCCATATACTTTTCACCCAGAGACTCTTCTTGCACATACTTTTCACCCATATACTTTTCACCCAGAGACTCTTCACCCAGAAACTCTTCTTGCACATACTTTTCAACCATATACTTTTCACCCAGAGACTCTTCACCCAGAAACTCTTCTTGCACATACTTTTCACCCATATACTTTTCACCCAGAGACTCTTCACCCAGGAACTCTTCTTGCACATACTTTTCACCCATATACTTTTCACCCAGAGACTCTTCACCCAGAAACTCTTCTTGCACATACTTTTCACCCATATACTTTTCACCCAGAGCCTCTTCACCTAGAAACTCTTCTTGCACATACATTTCACCCATATACTTTTCACCAGAACTCTTCACCCAGAAACTCTTCTTGCGCATACTTTTCACCCATATATTTTTCACCCAGAGACTCTTCACCCAGAAACCCTTCTTGCACATACTTTTCACCCAGACACTCTTCTTGCACATACGTTTCACCCATATACTTTTCACCCAGAGACTCTTCACCCAGAAACTCTTCTTGCACATACTTTTCACCAATATACTTTTCACCCAGAGACTCTTCACCTAGAAACTTTTCTTGCACAGATTTTTCACCCATATACTTTCACCCAGAAACTCTTCTTGCACATACTTTTCACCCATATACTTTTCACATCTTTTCACCCAGAGACTCTTCACCTAAAAACTCTTCTTGCACATACATTTCACCCATATACTTTTCACCCAGAGATTCTTCACCCAGAAACTCTTCTTGCACAGACTTTTCACCCAGAGACTCTTCACCCAGAAACTCTTCTTGAACATACTTTTCACCCATATACTTTTTACCCAGAGACTCTTCTTGCACATACTTTTCACCCATATACTTTTCACCCGGAGACTCTTCACCCGGAAACTCTTCTTGCACATACTTTTCACCAATATACTTTTCACCCAGAGACTCTTCACCCAGAAACT